CCCCAAAACCCCAAAACCCCAAAACCCCGTCAGTATTCTGAACTATTGAAAGTTACCTATATTTACCGAATAAACTGCTTAAGCCAGGTTTCAGTCATTTAGCGCATCCATACAGGCGGTTTATCGATATAGCCAGATATGGGCCTCACCTTATGCTTTGGCTTCGGGGGTTTATTGAAGAAATTTACTTGTGTTTTAGCTGGTTTTCCTATAAAATATCAAGGTTATCGAACCAGTACCTCTTAGGTCTTTCTGGCTATAGAAAGATTGTTCACCTCCTTTGCTAAGTCTGCGAGGTGAATTTTCTTCCTTGATAGGCCCTATCTTACTAAATTCACTGCTGAGGTTAATATCTTGGATGGTGTATTTGGAGGTAACTGATTTTATTATTGGAATATCAGTGTCAAAATCAAAAGAGAGCTTAATACTAGGCAACTTCTTTTTGGCTTTAGGCTTTAGCCGTTTAGATTTTGTTATGAAAGAACTTATTGTCGTCTGGATTGACGAGTTCCGACCTCTGCGAGGTTTACTATTGGTCGCTGATGACAGACGGGGCTTTATTTTTGTACGTTTCTTTATGCGAAGCATGCTACTAGATCTGCGCTTTTTGGCTTGCGAAACAGGATGGAGATCTTTGTTATTTAGTATTGGTTTTGAGGTTTTTATTTGTCTTCTGTTTCTTTTTAGCAAGATATAAAATTTCATGATGTCCGGCAGGTTTTTCTTCTATCTCAGTAGCAGAATGAAATTTGTTTATTTCCTTCTTCAAAGCGGTGTGAAATTTGAGCTCTTTACGCTCAAAATCTTTTAGTTTTCGAATAATTTTTGCTCCAGTGTACTGATTTATATTCCTCAGGTCAACAATATCTTTCTTTTCCTTCTGTCTGCCATTACTACTGTCTATTTCTTTCAAGTCTTGCTTATTTGTCTTTGCGTTACGCCTAACTTTGTGCAAGAAGTCTTCTTCCTGTTCTGAGAATTGTCTTGATCCTTTGCTTGAGTAATTTGTAGGCTGGTTTCTTGTGACCTTACGAATCCTGTTCATGTTTTCGGTATGGTGAACGTTGTTTTTATGGACCTGATTTTCTACAAGCTGGAAAATTTGGTATTCGTTGTTGAACTTTTGGTTTGGGAGATCGGAAGCGTACTGAGGGTCCTTAGTAGCCTTAGCTAGTCTTGTTAGTTTTAGCAGAGCGTTGATAACAAATTTAGCTACTCTGATAGTGTATGTAAAGTTTCGTTGCTTTTCAGGGCTAGCCTGAAGACCTATCATAGTTGGTTTTCGTTGAATCTTTGGACTTTTATTTCTAAAAATTAGTGCTTATCTTACATTTGAATTAAATTTCACATTTGTTAGAGAATCTGACACTGAAGCAAAATTATTCAGCCCTTGCATAAGTAAGTTTTCATCTTTTTGTTGTCTTATTAATTCAAGATAAGTCTTTTCAGCAGCTCTATTTAAGTTTTGCTAGGAAGAATTCTACCATTCTTTGGGATCTCTCGTCTTTTTCATTCTTAGCATCTTTTTCTTTAGTGTGGTAAAAGTTCAAATCTTCTTTCCATGTGAACTCGTACAGGTCTATCAGCTCTAAGATCTCCTCTGGAAGGTTAGCATTTGTAATTTTATGAATTTTCCAAAGTTTATAGGCTATATTTCTTAATATCTCATTGAAGGTTCATGAGACATTTAGAACAAAGGTTTGGGGTTGGAGAATCTTCCCTATCCGAGCAGCATCCTTTGATCTTTCGAGGTAATCACTAGTCTTTGGCTTATCTTGATAAAGAAGCTTCATTTTCATTGCATTTATTGTAGAAATCTCTGAACTGATTCCTTCTTCCTGAATCTTTTTATTTTCTTGGACTTCTTTCTTTTCTAACCATTCTTGAATTTCTGCTGTTTTGAAGTATGCTTCTTTGTATTTAGCAAGCTCTTCTTTCAGCTTGCCCAGTTCAATATTTTTATTCATAAGTTCCTGGTTTGTCTTCTCATAAAGATTGCTCATTGCGTTTGATTGGTTTCCAGTATAGACTATAGCTTAAAATAAAATGTTACCATCAATAATATCTTCTGGGGAGATTTCATCTTGATTCATTTTCTGGATTTCATTGAGATAAACATCCATGTTATCATCCATTGATGATAATCTAGATCTGAAGATAGTTCTTCTCCTGACTAATCCTGGAGATTGAGTCCTCTCAGGTGTTTGCTTCATTGCAGCTTTGAGCACCTTTAGCCTACTTTCGGCATTTTCACTCTTGCCTAAAGCTTTAAGGTAAAATCTTTTAAAATAGTTAAATTCTGGGTTATCATGGAGTTCTGCCAAATGAGTGGTTCCTTCTTGGTTCTTAGATTTTAAGTAATTAAACATAGGCACGATCATCGCCATGTTTTTAACAGTTTCCTTATAATCAGCTTCGCTGATCGAATCCTTTTTCAGATCTCTGTTCTTTTTGTTCTGAGAGTACAGTGACAATTTGGAATTTTGATCTTTCAATGGTCCCTAAATTTAGAGGTTAAGAAAATAATGATCATGCAGAGAACCCTTATTCCTTAACTCCAGCTAGGTTCCACATTTATACCCTATCCTTAAGGAAATGAACATTTCTACATTTCAATCTCTTTCCAAAATTTATGAGTTTCTTGTCTTATTGTTGGCCACTCAGTAGTAACTAACAAGACGAGATGTATTCTTAGATCCTGTGTCTAAGCAATTCTCACTATTTTGTAGCTCAAATAAATATTTAGCCAGAACTAAGGCTCTGTTCGGTCTCTATTTTACCTATTTGTCCAAAACTCTATGGATTTTTATGTTGCTGAGGTATCAGCATTCTGCAAGATGTGATTTATTAAAGATAAATTTTGAAGAATTTTAAACTTCAATTGTAGAGTGATGCTAAATCTACAGAGAGTATTAAGAAAATCGTTCCTTAAAGCTGAAAATGTGCTGATACTTTTAAATAGTGTAGTGGTGGCTTTATATGTATTCAGTATTACATCAAGAAGCTTTAGAAGGGAGATGAGTAATGTATGTTCTCTGTCTTTAACCTTAAAACCCAAAATAAATTTAGCAATGTGGCAGAGAGTTTTTATCTTACCATCATACTGCTACTAATGTCCAAGATTGATTTGCTTTTAGAGGTAGTTGAATCCCTTGTCTTCATTGTCAAAGTGACCACTTTTTCCAGAAGTTCTTCTACTTGGTTAGTCTCAATGGCAAGTTCGATCTTCAAGGCATTACTTTGCTGATTCATTTTTATAATCGGTGGGAACCTTTCTCTGGGTCTGTAACTTTTCTCTTAAGATGGTCTCTCTGATGCTTAAGAAGCGAAATTCTTTTGTAGTGTTCTCATAACTTGTCAATATTTTTAGATTCTTGTGAAATAGAGTGGCCTGTTTTGCTTGCAGACCCACTCACCTTCCTACGAGTGAAGTCCAAGTCTTGCTGGATTCTTTGTTTCATGTGTAGCAAGGTCTAAAGAGTTAGAAGAAAATACCTTTCTTTCTAAGTCTAGAAGGATTCAAGCATTTTCAGCTTCTAAAGATAATTTCAAGGACTTACTGTCCCTATCTTTGAAAGGAAGTAGACTCTGCTTTTTCGGTGCTGGTCTCACATTCTTTATTGACATATTAGTTTGTGACATTCCTAACTCAGGATTGTCAACACCTAAAGAGTAATCAAGGACACTTACTGAGAAAGCTTTGAATCGAAGCATTTTTATTTAGAAGAGGTTATCACTGATTGATAAATCGCTTCTCCTGTTTTTGCTGGTTCAGTGTTATTTTATTGATACATTATCTATCTGTGAATCTGAGGAGTCAGACTCAGACCTCATGTCAAGAATATTGTCCAACTTGCTTTGTAGGTCTCTTAATTTTTGTTCTTTCTTCTTTCTGTTAAATATTAACTTATCAACTAAAACATGTAAGTCTATTTGGAGATACTTTTCATTCGAAGTTTGATGACGTCGTCTAAACATCAAGTCCAAGTTCTTACCCTGAGAATTACTAACTGTGGACTCTCTTAGAGGAGGTATTGTTGGATTACTTGAAATCTGAGTCTTGATACTCATTCTCTTATTTAATCCTGCTGTTCTCCTCAGCAGCCTTAGCTCTCTTCTCTTGTTCCTTATGTAGGGACTTGGTGGCCTGGTCATTAGTCTCTTTAATCAAATTCTCTTTTGCTACAATGTAGCTGATCCCATGAGCTAGAGGATGGTTATTTCCAAGGTTTAAAATTTAAGCAATGATGTTAATCCAGGTTTAGAGCTACAGTTTGCTTATTTTTATTTAGAACATTTCAGAAGATGTTAGCACGAGATTGTATAGTAGCCCACTGTCTTAGAAATAATCACCTGAAATGTTAAGCTTCTGCATCTTTTGTACAAGAAGAATTCTATATTTTTTATATGAAAAGGGGTTTTGGGGTTTTGGGGTTTTGGGGTTTTGGGGTTTTGGGG